ATATATCAAGCTTATACCTGATTAAGGATAGTCTCCAAACATACAAATAATCTATAACATCCTATTTCTGCTACCGAGGGATAGGAATCTAAGAGCCAAACAGTGGGAGAGGGAGAGGAAACGAACATGTGAGCAGCGGGGAGAGGAAATGAGAAGAGGTCAGGAAGCCAAAGAGGTGAGTTCACCTATATAACATTGCAGACAACTTCTTGCGCTCGATGCTGGAAGAAGAAGCGATGTCGATCGCAGTAGCTGAGAAGCTCGTGCGGGAGGGAGCCGAAGCCAGAGTTCACCCGTGTGCAGAGGATGGGTTTCACATGCATAAAATAGGGCTCGACCGAATTTATAAGGGTAAGCTTATTTATTCAAGTGAATTAATAAATATTATATATTTCGTGCATTTGATTCAAGCACTAAAGAAATACTAGGGTCTTAATTCTAAAAGTATTTCATAATAATTTTGATTACAATAATTAAACTTAAAGTTTAAAGCATTGAAATTTTATTTAAAATAATGCGATACAACAAGAATTCATAATTAAATTATAACACAATCAAATAAAAAATTAAATAAACTGATAATTGAATATTTTAAATTTTATATGTGATAATTTGATGGAAGTAACACAAGTTAAGAGCAAACAAATCAACTATCATCGAGACGAGTGCTCATATTCTTTTGTTATAATAAAATTTTATTTCTTTTCGACCAAATGCATTTACTGTTACCGTTATAATATTGCATACCCATCATTTATTATTCTATTGAGTTTTGTTTCATATTGTAAGAATGACCAGTGTGCTTAATTTTGCTTAAATTATTATAAATATTTTTGGCACAAATGAGAATGAAATATTTGTTATCAGAAAATGATATTTTATTGAATGTCTGTGTGTGCACGACTAACTATGATGTAATTACCCCTTTATAGTACTAGCGGAGGAATGCTAATGTATCCGTGCACGTAAATGAAAAATGATATTGATATTGAAGTATTTTAAATAGTACAATTTTTTGAAGGAGCTCTTGTGACGGTTGTACAAATATAAAATCATATAAATATGATAATAATATAATAATCATTGAATAATATTATAATATATTGATTTATTAAAAACTTAATTGACATGCATATTGCATCTTTTCTCTTGTATTACTGTAATTTATAAGTATGAGTATTCACTGACGTTGTTTAGCTCATTCTTATTTTAAATTAACTTTTCTAGTTAATTTAATTCATTAAAATATTAACGATATAAGAAATAATATTTATAGAAAATAAGAAGAACCAATAATTAGATATATTTAAATATACTGTTTTAATTTAATTTGATTAGTGACTCTTTCATCTGTTAAATTGTAAATAAATATAGAAAACTTAGTTCACACTACCCACTTGTCAGACCCGTTTTGGTTAATTCCAAGTCCCGGGCTGGGTCGTGACATAATCCTACCTCCATTTTTCTGTTGAGTTAATGACTACCAAAAATCATGTCTTATTATAACAATGTCATCTGGGTCATCCCAATTTCAATAATGTTGCCAAGTCATGTCATCGTTTGTTTATCAATAAAGAATCTAGTTTTTATTAATGTGAAATTTGTTACCTTGTCAATAACACAATAAAAATAACTATACTCTGATCCAGCACAAACCCTCACACCCTTTTGCCAAAATCAATAGTGATATTTGAGGGGCCTTCAAAATATGAAAATCCTATATGGGGTTAGATGGTTTATCTCATTTATTGATGATCATACTAGAATCAAATGAATATTCCTAATCAAGGAGGAATCTGAAACAACCCAAACTACCAAACCTTCCAAGACATGATTCAAACTCAATTCCAATACAAAATTCAGATGTAAAAACTAATAATGCAAAGAAATATTTCAACGCCATCCTTGGGGTTTTATTTTATGGAATCATCCATGTATGTCTATATATTAATGTCCCACAATAAAATGAGATAACTGAGAGAATGAACATGTATCTCCTTGAGATATCGTACTCAATTATCATGTCTCATCAAGTTCCTAAATATTTTTTGGGGGGAAGAAATTCTTACTGCGACATACATTATCAATCAAATGACTAGCTGAGTAATTAACTTCAAAACATATCTTCATGTTTTGATGATTATTTATCCTCACATCAGAACTTTCTATTCTACCATCCCACTTAAAATCTTAGAGTGCATATCTTTTGTTCACGACCATTCTCAAACTCACACCAATCTTGACCATAAACCTACTAAATGTATTTTTCTTGGGTATGATAGCAACAAAAAGAGGTATAAGTGCTACTCTTCTGTTACCAAAAAATATTGCAATTTCATCAATGTCACATTCTTTAAAAATCAATCATATTAGCTCAAATATGATGTTCAGAGGTAGAGTGCCAATGAACATCAATTTTGGGATGCACTTGATGACACCTATACGGTTTTACCACCAACTCCACCTAGCCCTCCAATCTTGGTTGACGATGTCCAACAAAACCAACCTGAAGTCCAAAACAAAAAACTGTGTACATAAGTATAAAGAAAAATCTTGAGCAGGAGCAGGTTGAAGGCAACCTGCAAGGACAAAACTCAAACCAAAATTTGAGCCTGCATCACATCAAATTTCGATAAGGAGTCTAGTACAAATAATTTATTTCCTTCCTTTATGATACTGGTAACAGGAAAAGCTGCATTAGATATCCAATTCAAAAGCATGTAGCTTATGGGAAACTATCTCATCCTACAAAATTTTTGATTCGAACCTTAATAATATGCAGATGCTTAAATCCACTTATGAAACCCCTAAAAATCTAGAATGGAGAAAAACCGTTCAAGAGAAAATTCGAGCATTAAAACATAACAGTACATGGATTCTTACTAAACTCCTTCAAAATATGAAGTCGGTTAAGTGCAAAATGGGTGTTAAACATCAAATATAAAACTTATGGTGGTATTGAGAGATTCAAAGCCAGACTTGTTTCAAAAACTTTCACTCAAGCCTATGAAATCAATCATCAGGAAACCTTTGCACTAGTTACCAAATTTAACACTATCATAGTTCTCCTTTCAGTAGCAACAAACAAAGAATGAGGACTACATCAACTTGACATAAAAAATGCCTTCCTAAATGTGAATCTAGAAGAAGAAGACATAAAAAATGTCTTCCTGAATGTGGATCTAGAAAAAGAAGTGTATATGGAGATACCACAAAAACTTGAGAATGATTCAAACAAACACCTAGTAAGCAAAATCAGGAAGTTTCTTTATGGGCATAAACAACCATCAAGGGCATATTTTAAAAGTTTACTAAAGCTATGAGATCTAATGGATATTCTAAAAGTCAAACTGATCATACTTTATTTAAAAAACACACTCAGGGAGATAAAATTGTTACACTGTAGTATATGTAGATGATATGATTCTTACTGATGAGAATGAAAGAGAGATTCTCAAAATAAAAAAAGTGCTTGTCACAGACTTTAAAATCAAGGATCTGACAACCATGAGATATTTTCTAGGTATGAACATAGCGAGGTCCAAAAAGACATTATTATCATAGAGTAAATACATCCAAGATCGACTAATGGAGACACATATGATTGGATGTAAGCTTGATGATACTCTAATGGATCCCAACCATAAATCAAAAAGGGGAGAAAAACAAGTCTTTGTGAATAAGAGAAGATATCAAAGATTGGTAGGGAAACTCGTATATCTGCGACATATGGGGAAGACAATGCATACTTTGTCAGTATTGTGAGCCAACATATGAATATCCCAAATAAAGAGCAATTGTAGATGAAGTACAAAATTCTGAGGTTCCTCAAGAAGACTTTTGGTTGAGGATTACTATTGAGAAAACTCGGAACAAAGATGTGGAAGTTTACAATGATGCTAGTTGGGCTTAGGTACTCATTGGCAGAAGGTCCACCACAGGTTACTGCTCCTATGTATGGAGAAATTTGGTGACATGGAGAAGTAAGAAGCAAACGGTTGTTTCTATAAGCAGTGCATAATCAAATTAAGTTGAGCACTACCCTTAGGAATCTGTGAAGAGATTTGGATTAAGAAATTGTTTAAGGACTTAAGAGGTACCTTCAATAGAGCTATACAAGTGTTTTGTGAAAGTCAAGCAGCTGTCAGTATTGTCAAAAATCATGTAAATCAAAAGACAAGGCCAAGCATATTGAAGTTGAGAAACACTTGATCTATGAAAAGGTTAATGGGGGAATTATACAACTACGCTACATCCCAACATACCAACAAATTACTAATGTCGTCACTAAAAAATTTCCTTTAAGTACCTTCTCAGAATTTAATACCAAGCTTGGCCTTTATAATATTTACAACCCAGCTTATGTGGGTGAAGATAACTGAGAAGATTCTGAAAGAAATCCGAGAAGATCTTGGACGATTTGATTGAGACAACTTAAGAAACAATCTTATTGCCTTCTAATTCTATGTTATTTTATTTTTTTATTTCAGAATTATTTCCTTTCCTAAGTTAGGTTAAATATATTTGGTAAGTTTATAAATTAGGATGTATTATTTATATATATATATATATATATATATATATATATATATGTATGTATCATGCATGTGAATAATATGAATCAATGGATTATTTCTCCCCAAACCTATTTTTCTACAGTTATGATGAGGACTTCTTGAATCCTGTATATTCTTTCAGAGGTTCATAGTTGTAAGAGTTGCTCCCATGGCCAGAAATTTGATATAAATGTGGCATGATAGTATCATTTATTGATGACGATTTGAATTTACTTCCTACAGAATGCTACCCATAACATGAAATAGAAGATCATTAATCCAAAACAAGAACTTAAACAAGAAAACATCATAAGATATAAACATTGTTGGATGGAAGGGTCATGGAAGTTTATAGCTGATCAGCAACGAAAAAGTATTAACCAGTGCAAAGTTAAGAGTTTAACATCAAACTTTGATATTTAGACAACTAAAATCAAGTAATACCAGAAGATGCTCTGCATTCCGTTTGTAATACTCTGACATGCCACCAGCAAACATGGAGGAAAGTCGAATGAGGTTGATAGCTGAAATTGAGCTTCCAGATGGCTCTGCTCCATCATAATCCTCTTTCACTCGAAGCAAGACAGAAGGGTTTTCGCCTGAAGTATTGAAATAACCTCCACCTTCAGTGTCCAGAAATAGCTCATCCTGTAGAATGTTACCTTCAATGAAATACAAAGCCACAGAGTGCTTAAAGAAACAATCTTATTGGTTAGCCTACCTGAGTAGCTTGCAGTTCTATTGCCCAGGCCAACCAGTTGATTCCACCACTACATTCATAAAGATCCAGCAAAGCTGAGATTAAAAAAGCATAATCATCTAAGAAACCAGGTGCACTTGATGGAACATTTCGGAAGCTATGTTGCAGCCTTTTTGTGTGGAAATCATAGAGTTTGTTCTTGATGAAAAGTGCTGCTTTTTCCGCAGCCTCCAGATAATCATTTGGCTGTACATATTACTTAAACCATTACAAAATGATGTTATATGCGATAGAAAATAAAATGAAAACAGAAAATATCTAAAAACTTTTAAGTAAAAGAGTATAAGAGTGGATTATGCTATAACCGTTCAATCTCCCCCGCCAAAAAAAAAATTTGTTGTGACAAGGAACATAGAATAAGAAGGTGTGTTAAACTCGGTGGATATTGAATATTCCACAGGGTAGGTGATGAATAGTATCAGATAGTGTATTTAATTGTAGAATGTAATATCTTATATAATTCCCATAAGAATATAGATTATGACAAAAAAGAAAGCGGAATTCACCAGTCCTTGGCAATAAAACCTGCAGGGGGTAGAGTGTTGAGAAATATGCAACTTCAATACAAAAGCAACTATTAGGAGCAAATATAATGAACACTCAGAAAAATAACTTAGTGACTAAGCACCAACAAAAATTGTCAAAAATTATATGATTTGGCTAAAATAAGTATATATCAACATATAAGAGGATTAGATTCACAATAAAGAAGCGATATATCTACACAAAAATAAATGGGGCACAAGAAAAACACTTCCCTTAGCCCAAATAGACATAAGCTCACCATGAAAGAAAAGCCCAAAATATCTCTAGATAAATAAAAATGATTATAACACGAGAAATAAAAAATAAGGGAGATTTAACTAATAAAAAAAAGTTATCCACTTAAAAATTCCTCAAAAGGGACCTTTTCAGAGTTGATATAATCATGGCATCAAAATAGCACTCATTAGAAAAAAAAATTAAATTCTATTATTCGTTACCTATTCTTCTCACTTACTAACCTCCAGTTTTCTATCAAAAGGCTATAATTTTTCTCGTCCCAACAAACCACAACTGTAGCTCCCAACCCATCAATCATTCACGCTCATCCTAACTGTTGTATTATAGAAGCTTAAAGAGATGATTTCATTTGAAAAGTTTTAAATTTTAACTGAATGTTATCCAAAATAACAAGTTTTATGAGAAAATTGAAACTTCATTTTATTTAAAATATATGGCTAAAGTGTCAATCATAAAATCATTTATTTTAAAGTTTGTGCTTAACTTGACTAGAGTATCAAGTGAAATCCTAACAAAGAGCCCAAGAATGGTACACATAGGCAAAAAAAAAGACATCAGCCAATTTTGTTTTTGAAATGCCCACACATATTTTAGCCACATGTTTTGTGATTTACATAATTAATCTCCTTCCTAGGTACATTTTACTGGCCCGCATGTGTCCAGGAATGATTAACTACTTCATTAAATCTGTGTTCTCATCTCCTTAGGAGCACTTTCAGTGTTTAAAGCTGTTTCCAACTCATAATACTTTTTAATATGATTATATGAGAGGTAACATATGAGTAGCACTTCTTTAAGATACAGCAGTAAAAAGAAATTTAGGTGTGTTGGAAATGGAGAAGGGTGAAAATGCATTAAAACGACGTAATAAAGAAAACAAATGTAAAAGAAGGAAAGGGATAAACCTAAGTTAACATAGATAGAACTTGTATGATAATATTTGTGTACAATAGATGCTACCGGATTTAATCCAAAAAACAGTGGCAAACAAATATTATTGCCAACTTCAACTAAGAGATTACACCAAAACAAACGGACAGTTGAAATTTCAGCAAATCCAACAAACAACAACAGATCGGGGTGGATCCAGGGCAGAGCTGTGCCAGTTAGGTAGGTTGGAAGGTGGCGGCAACAAATGGAAAGGGGGATACACAACAGGTGGCTGTTTTAGGCAAGCGGCAGCAGCGAGGAGAGGTGAGGAACAACTGGACAGCAAAGAGGCTTGCTGTCCAAGCTGGCAACAGCAGGCGGTTGGGGAGGAAGTAGAAGGTACAGCAAAGGCTCACTGTCCCGGGGTGGCGGTGGCAAGAAAAAGGAGATTGTGAGTGATGGCAGCAAGGATACCGGCAGTTTGGGGGTGGCGGTAGCAAAGGTGGAGGGGGAAGGTAATGGGTGGTGGCCAGAACTGCAGAAAAACAGCAGGAAAACGACTGTTATGAGTGGCTTCAGCAAGGGAGGGAGGCGGGAAGGATGGGAAGGGTGGAGGAAGGATAATCACCACATCGGGAGCAAAAAAAACAGCTGGAGAACTACTTGGACCCTTGGCTACAACCCTAGAAGGGAAAATAAAGATGCCGGTCCCAAAACAAACACAAAAAAAGAAAAGAAAAAAGAAAAAACTATACACAGACGAAAACACATAAATAGTCCTAGGATAACTAGGAGTGGGCCTCACTATCATTGGGTGACACTTCAATGCCTGGAAGGGTCGGCTGGCCCCTTGGATGCCTAGACCGAACCGGTCCCTGTGCGCCCACGAGTTTTGTTCTATCCCAAACGCCCGCATCAATAGATTTGATAACAATTTGAGAATAAGAACTTATAGAAACCAACCTCAAAAACTAGGGATAGGCTAACAATGATATTGCACAACATTCCTTGTATGAAGCCTTATGAAAACAAAGGAATATGGATACATTTTTTTAGATTCTTATCACTCTTAGTGAATAGAATTTAAAATATCCTATCTATCAAACAATAAACACTCTAGGTGCTCTCACTAAATCATAATGCTGGAAAGCATCATGATTGTTGCCATATTTACAAATTGAATGGTGTGAGACGTTGCAATAATAGGTGGCCCAAGCACTATAGTGATGCATATAATTGCTAGCATAGGCACAAGAGCTTCTAGTAATTGGCAAAAATAAAAAAAAAAGTAATTTCAAGTTCAAATCGTGGACTTATATATCACGAAGGAGTTGCCAGTAAAATGGTAAAGGATATCATTTTATTGTACCTTTTATGCTTGATTATTAGATTTTTCTCAACTGTTGATGTGCCTTCGAACATTTAACTAAATTAGGCACAAAAATCTTGCACAAAGAATAATATATGGAAATTCTTTCAAATTCAACCCTCTACCAATAACCACAAGTTAGGACTCAATCAACGTTTTCTTCTCTTATTAAAAAATGACATCAAATTGTCCACAGATAGCCTTGAATGTCGAGCAGTAGAACTATCCAGTTGCAAAGGCTTGCCAAAGATAGAAGCCAAAAAATATAGAGTAGATAACTTTAAATAGTTTAAACGAAGTCTAGAAAATGCAATCCATACTAGAGTAAAAAGAAGTTCCTCAAGAATAAAAAATGAGGTTACAAGTGGATAATCTTAATAGGGCCTTTTTGAAAAGCTTTGTGTAGTATGCTTCTAAAGAGAGTCTAATAATGACATATTGAGGGTAAATGCGCCCAATAGAATGGCCATCAAGCAATTTTAAGTTAGAGATTTTTTTTTTAATAATCTTTATATTGGGACAGCCCTATAAAATTTAACAACAACAGAAAAAACAAAGAGGCCTAGTAAGCTTAGAGATCTCCGTTGTAAAGATTAAGTATGTTTGCTTTGACAAAAGGATGGATTCTTATGAGAAGTTTTATCTTGATGGAAAAATAGAGAAAGTGATTGCTTTAAGTGGAGGTAGGAACGCTCAAGCTATTCAGCTCACCAACACATTTGCAAAGTTGAGGAAGGAACGCTCAAGCTATTCAACTCACCAACCACATTTGCAACTAAAAGTGTAGAATCCAAAGAAGGTGATGTGAGAAAAATTACTATATAGTAAGGAGTCATTGGGGTAAGATAGGGTAACCCACCAAAAGGATCAACCAAGATCCTAATACCAGCCAATGCGGGAGAAAGAAGGGGAACTCCAGGATGGCAAGATAGAAAAGAACGTTCCAATGCAAGCCGGAATGTCAGTCTTAGCGAGTATTTGGTAGCAAGAATTAAGCAGCCTTTAAACAATATTTAACGTGAATCCTGCCAAACAACCATCATGACAACTTTAAATCTTACATTATCTTAAATCCTATTTCTCCAATAATTTGCGTTAAATCTCATTGATACTGGAGTTAACCTAAACCACGACACAAGGCACAAATTTTATTAATAACTTAAAAGACAATTACAACATGTACTCAAAAAGAAAGAAGATGCTACGGAACAGAAATCACATAAAGCAAACAATACAACAAGACTCAACAATAAAAGACACACGAGCTCGACGAGGAGAGGAGTCCTGAACTGTGTACTGGCATGTCGGTCGGAGCCGAGGAGCGAATATATGTCAGGCGGCCAGAGCCAAAGATCAGAGGCATGAAGGGCGGCCGGAAGCCGAGGAGTGGAGGTACGTCAGGCGGCCAAAGTCGAGGAGCAGAAGGCATGAAGGGCGGCCAGAAGCCAAGGAGCGAAGGTACTTTGGGCGGCCAAAGCTGACGGGCGAAAGCACGAAGGAAGGCCCGAAGTCGAGGAGTGGAGGCACGTCGGGCGGCCATAGCCGAGGAATGGAGGCACAAGGACGACCGAAGTTGAGAAGTGGAAGAAATGGCAGAGGCTCTGGGATCGGCAAGTGGCGGCCACCTATCGTGAAGGAGATGGCAAAAGGGTTCCGAGTTGCAGGAAGACGACGAAGAAGGGCTTGAGTCGCTGGGGAAGCCTAGGAGAGACGGTGGCCTAGTGTGTGACAGGCAACATGTGCTACGATGAACTGCAGGAAAGCTGCAGGGTGGGTTGCCAACGGACTGGGAAGGCGACAGGAAGCTACGGTAGCTTACAAAAGGTTGTGCGGAACTAGAAGCAACAGGGCGTAGCTCCAGGGGAGTAAGATCTGCAAAATTGAATGTGGTTGAAATGTTGTATTCCCTAGGTAAGTTAATCTTGTAAGCGTTGTCGTTGAGTTTTCGCAGAATTCTGAAAGGTTTATCTGCTCTAGGCTTCAGTTTTCCGAAAGCTCTTGGAATAATTCCTTTTCAACCAGATCCAGACGAGATCCTCTAGGCTTCAGTTTTCCGAAAGCTCTTATTAGGAATAATTCCTTTTCAACCAGATCCAGACGAGATCGCTCTCTTTGAATGTCACCTTTTCCTTGATTTGTTTACTTGTACCTACTATTTTATGTT